AATATTATTCGGTATATTTCATTGTGAATGAAAAGTAATCTAACTATGAGAAAATGCAGACATGTGACGTTCATGATTTTCCTTCAAGAGCACATAATGTTGCTTCAACTTCACCTTGCAGTCGAATTCCACTAGAAGATGATAAGGTAGAAATACTATAGTCAACGTTTTTCAAAGAAACTTAGGTATCATGTATTACGAATAACGGTGTCTAATTCCACACATTGCATCGTACTGATTATGATATACGGATAACTAGGAAAATAGTGTTCAGGCCGAGTTGAGCCATATTTGAATATATATATATATATATATTATTATCCATAAAATATTACTGATAAAACAAATAAACGTATTGAAACATAAATTAATTGTACAATAATAATATTAATGATGTACAGGAATATTTTCGATAAAATTTCAAAAATATGAAACGAAGTTATTTTAATGTTTGGCACTTAATATTTTTTATATTTTAACTTTATAATAATGATACCGCGGCTATAACGATAGAAATTATTATTTTAAAAATGACGTGAGGTAAAAAAAGTGATATATTCCAATGTTTTTGCATCGTTCAATTTTATTATATATTTGTAATGGATTTTATTGTAATTAATTTTACAATTTCATAAGAATGTGACAACTAACTTCAATCACATTGGAGATTTATTCAATATGATTATTTACGAAATAATAATAATGAAAGTATTTGAAGAGGTTTGACATAATTCCAAGGAAAACAATAATTTAAAATTTAGAAATCATAAAATTTAATGTTTGAAATTCTAAAAGTGTTCTTTTCAGTATTGGCGTTTGTTGAAGATTGCATAATAATTGTCTGTCCGCAATGTTAAACGAATAAAATCATTAATGATTAATATTGGGCGGTAAAATAATATTTTTAGATAATAACGTGAAACTGGAATTTCAATATTGATTGAAATTTATTACGTTACTACTAGTATGCCAATAATAATATTAAAATAATATAAAAAGAAGTGTGTTGAATGGTGCATCACATTATTTAGTTAACTAGTTCGTAAATAAAAAATACCGAAAAACAACGGTATTAAGTTTGGATCGTTACGTATGTTATGACAAAGTGATCATAGGAAATCATATCATACATTGAAAATGAAAACGCTGATTACATAATAATATTTCAAGTTGTAGGTAGCAACTAAATATTTTAGTTATGAAGAATAATATTTATTAAAGAGAGAGAGAGAGAGAGAGAGAGAGAGAGAGAGAGAAAGAGAGAAAATATCATTATGATAGGCGATAATTATTTTCAGCGTTGGCTTTTTTTTGATAATTAAATCAAATAGTAAATTTTTATAGATACTTTGTTTAAAGAAAAAAAAAAGTATTACCAATTTTTAATCATATTTAATCACGATAATAGTCTATGATTGAAAATCCCCCCCCCCCCCAAATATTAAATAAAAATATAAACTTCATTAATATTTGCATTAATATTGGCAATGAACTGTATTACATTGTTCATTTTATACTTTCATAAATACACATTTAGAAGCATAATATACCAATTATACTGTTATCAGTTAGTAATGTAAATTTTATTTAATTAATTTAATTAAATTCTTTGTCTAGATGATTACGATGTTAAAAGAGGTAAAATAAAGTAAGAGAGGTCTTAATAAAATAGATAAAACGAAATAGAAGATAATAGATGAGTTATGAAATATGCAGCAACCGAACCAGAGGATAAATTTCCCGTCGTAGAAGTTGTCGCACATACGAACGCTGACGTCCGATGGTTGCGGCTTACATATCTATCTTTTTCTTTCTCGTTCACACTCTCTCTCTCTCTCTCTCTCTCTCTCTCTCTCTCTCTCTCCCTCTCTGTGTCTTTCCTTCACCAAGAGAGAAATGTCGAAGAACTTTGGAGAGCGGACCACCCGTCAATCTCAAATCAAGAAAGCTAAACTCCTTCGAATATGCGGATGTTAGCTATTCCATCTCCTAATACCCCCTACCCCCAACCCCCGCTACGACTATTCCCCGCACCAATCTCCGTTCCTTCGCAACTTTGCACATGCTTTCACGAGACATTGACTAGCCTCCCTTCATCGTCACCCCTAAATGTTCGTAGCAATCCGGCGTTCTCTTCCACTCCCTCTCCCCCCTCCCGGCAAGTCCCAAGATTTCTCAAACAAAAAATAGGTGGCCAGAGCGCGGCCTCGGACATACATAATCGAGCCTCTAGTCAGTCTCGACGCCTCAACTGTAGCAGCAGCAGCAGCAGCAGCAGCAACAGCGCCGTAGAAAATCATTCGGGTCGGCGATAAATAACGCGATGCTGTCGCGTTGCGTACGTGCAGTGGCGGCGTCGCTCGGTCGACACTCAAACTTACCAGCGGCATTCACTCTCTAATGCTCAACAGATATATCAGTTTTGAAATTGCGCGCATGCCCTTATGGGACGCCGCCTGATTAAACGACACCCGACGCTTCTCTCCAGCTGGGGAGAAGTGCGCTAATACTCTGTGGACCGGTCCACATATACTTGAGAGGGAGGGTTAAAATTGAGTGTAACGGTATTCAAGTGTTTGACCGACAGTTTATATTTTATTTATACTATTCTATTTAGAGTTGTTGACTGCTGACCGAATATTCTGATTCTCGAGCGCAAAAATAAATTTTCTCTTCAGTTAAAGTTCATCGAGGAAAATGTGCACCACCGCTCTATTTATAATTATTGTCATTCTATTAGCCGATGGGAGGCAACTTTTTGTAATGGACTATTAAGCGTACTCTTCTCCACGTAAAGTGTGTTTCCCGAACATAATTAAGCCAGTGAAACTTTTTCGCCTAGGCGTCTCAGACAGCTATATCTCTCTCTCGCTCTCTCACTCTCTCACTCTCTCGCTCTCTCACTCTCTCACTCAAAGTTTTTGTAAAATCTACGCGGCAAGAAATTGCTACCAGATTTAAACTTGTGCATTTCCTCGGCAATATGTGTAGCTCGCTCTCTATATGTAACCTCTCCCTTGTAAAATAGGAAAAAGTTTTTGTAAAATCTACGCGGCAAGAAATTGCTACCAGATTTAAACTTGTGCATTTCCTCGGCAATATGTGTAGCTCGCTCTCTATATGTAAACTACCATTACAAGGGCGCTTAAAAATTTTTAAACTATCTTTTCTGCCCTCTAGCTCACGATTAAAAAGATTTTGCGCTGTAAAATGTTAACGTAGCCGAGAATTAATCAAATCACGGGATATATATATTTTGCAAGGATTAAGTTTTAAACATTATATAACATAAATTTCAGCGCTTCACTATTTATGCCGCGCGCGCCCACGCACACTGTCTACGTCACATTTGAATACTTTAACATTCAAAAGTGCCTTTGTAGCCTTTGAAAATAGGCCGATATTTTTAATGGGTTTTGATAATTTATGTCAGAGGGAACTTTGAAGAGTCGAGAAATGACTGGCGGAAAAGCTTCTCCGAGACAAGGCGCAACGGCATAATTGCTTCTTGCCTTGTCACATTTACCTATTTTTATTTAAATCACCGAGACGTCGACATTTCGCGCTATCACGCTATTACCACGTTTTAAAAACTTAATGTAGCGCGCTGTATCTGCCTCCCTCACTCCGAGTTTCTCCCGCTCCATCCTCCAAACCCGGGGGAAGTGAAAGGTAAACAGTAAGGAGGGAGGGAGGTATCGATGGCATTAGTAGCGCGAGGCGCGTATTGAAAAGGGCGAGCTCGGGCATGCTAACGATGTCGCGTATAATTACGTCGAAAGTTCGGGCCGCTCCCGGGCGTAATTATCGCTCTCGCGTCTTGAGAATATGCGACCCTCCTCCCCCACACCCCTACCCCCCGTCCCCCCGTCCCCCGTCCCCCGTCACCCGTCCACCGATACCCCATTGGCTTACGCGGTGCCGTTGGAATGGGTGCATTGGAATGGGGGTGTGAGGGGCCGGGGGTGTGAGGGGCCGTGCATTCGACGGAAATACCAACGATGCCCGGCAGCACAAAACCATTGGATAATTGCCGCGGCCGTTAATAGATGCAATAACGTCGCGTAAAATGAATCGCTAAGTCTTGCAATCGCTCGCTCGGATAACTTTTGCAGGATTTCTCGACGAGCGCGCGACGAATGCGGCCCCTTGGTTATGTACGACATGCTATTTTATAATATAACTCGTTAAAGTTCTTCGCGTTTAATGGAGGTTGTCTCCGCATTATTCAGAGCCAAGACTCCATCGCGCTCTGTAATTGCACTAACGGAATCATTAAGTAATAAGGGATCGATATTGGCTTTTGCATTCCACGAGTAATCAATTTGTATTTTGAGCTTTCTATCGCGGAAGTTCAGAGGGAATGCGTTCGCCCCCCCCCCCCACCCCACGCTTCTTCTCAACAGCGCAAATATATATATTTAAAGAAAAAGCATTTACGTATGGAGATAGTTGAATATCACATTGCTGAATTTCAAAATCGAAATCCATTTGGTAATCGATCAAATTTCAAATATATTACAATTCAATATGATATGATAAATGCGTATCGTCGCTCGGTAATAAATAAACTTGAGTGACATTGAGTCAAATTTTAGAAAGTGAAAAATTAGCGATTAGCCGTGACGAAAGTATTCTAATTTTAATAGAATACGTTAAGTGGCGGAAGAAATTTTTTTGATATTATAATTTCTTTATTGGCTGATAATGTCCGATTATACGAGCACAGGGGCTTACCTCACTGCCCATTGTTGCTAATATGATTTATGAAGAAGTTGAAAATACGAGCCTTGCAATTATAATTTTCAGTCGCTTTCGGCGAATAATAAAAAGCCTAATCTATCGTTCGCATTGTATTATCAGCTTGTAAAAAGGCATAAAGTAACTATCGATCGAGCAGTGCCGATAAATCAATCCGCCTCGAGATAGAGGAAACGAGGTAAAACACAGCCCCGTCAGGTATGCTCGAGGTAGAGTGCGGTAACGACGAGATGACTTACCCCGTGGAAAATCTTGATGTTGTGCAGGGCATTCTGGGCGGCGAGGGCAGCCTTTCTCGTGTAAAACGTAACGAAGCAGCATCCTGAAACACAAAGAAGAAGGAGCCTCGTTTATTTAAAGACTTAGCGACTTTGGTTTACGGTGTAGTTGTGTGTGCTCGTGATAGGGAGGTAGGTGGGTGGTACGAGGGCTCAACGTGAACGCTGGTCGAGGGTGGGGATCATCACTGGGATTGGGGATTGTGGGTTGGTGGTATGAGGTAAGGGTTAGGGGGTAGGGGGTAGTGATAGGAGGTGGAGATGGCGATGGGGATGGGGATGGGGATGGGGGGTGGTGGTGGTGGTGTAGTTGATCGAACAACCTTCGACTTGGACGGGGCCGATAGTTACGAGTTGCCAAAAGTTCGATACGCCTTGGGAGGTTTTAGTTCTCGACGGTTTGGCCGCGGTAGCCTCTGTTCGTTGGTCTTTACGAATGGGACGTACGTCTCGGCTAGGTAGGGCAGTCGTCCTGTATAGCTTAGTCCGTAACGGCAACTGCATTTGCCGCGAATCTTGAGAAAGACTCTGGCCCCCTTCCCAACATGCACGTAAATATACGGAGGGACGAGGAGCAGCAGCGGTTCGTGTGACGGGTTGCGCGTCTATATACGGAGAAAACTTGCGAATTCTAGACTCAAAGTTGGATCCTGTGAATGGCCATGGCAAGAGTAGTGTTGGTAGGACTAAAATTGCTAGCTTGGAAAAGTCGCGGGGATGACTTCATTTTCAGATCTCAAATGTACACGTTGGCTCGTTCTTAAAGAAGGATGGAATTTGCATTTCTTCTACATGCTTTGTACGCATCTCGCCGCGAAAATTCATTTTCCGACATTAACTTTGTTACCGAATTAGCTTGCTTTTCGCTTTTATCGAAAGCGAATAAATAGTCGAGATACATGGACTATCATCAACTTTAAAAATACGTAAGAAATTTGTCTTTTTTTCCATCATTTATGTATGTAGCGGTTGAATGATATTAAATCAAATGAAACAACATTATTTTTTTTTTTTAAATTTAAACTAAAAAGTCAAACAATAAATGTACAATTGATGAATACGTTATTATTGTAAATCGCACCAACTTTCGATCCGTAAAAATTTTACGAAAATAATAACAAAATTTCCACGGTTGTTAATAAATCATTTTTCTTCAAGTTTTTTTTCTCCCACGCTATAGTAGACAAGTCATAATGATAATTTTCATAAAAGGAATTTCAACGCTATTTCCATAAATGCTGCATTATACAATTAAATATTCAAATATTTTAAAATCATATTTAGAAATTTCTCATTTAAAAGTTTTAAATTAAACTCTATCGTTATTTCACATATATTTTAATAATTGTGAATTCTTTTTCTCATTCTTTAAGAAATATTTATATTTTCATATCCTTAAATCGTAAGTTTAAATCGTGTACAATTAAATATTCATATAGATATTTTAGAATACCACTCGTAGCATTGAAAATAAATATGAAACAGACGATTATATAGACGTTTGCCATTAGTCGTTGGTCTTTCTGTTGAAATAAGTTAATTAAATGCACCAATTATGAAGAATATATAAGTTCTTGAACTATATATATATATATATATATATATATATATATGACGAATTTAAGTTGATAATTGAAAGAATATATAACGATAAAGATGATTGGAGCTTCATCGTCATTTGGCTAAGGAAATAAATTAAATCACACGGAGCGAATCTATAGCATCTACAGGATGAGTATGGGATCTTCTGAGCAAGCGCACTTGTAATAGTCATAGCCTATGATTGGCAATATGCATGATCATTTCAACACTTGAAAACCTTTAGTACATTGCTTTTCTTTATTTTTCAGTCGATTGACCTTCGAGGTCGAATAAACGCATATGTAGATGACAAATCGACACAACGAGTGAATATTATAATACATTAGCTAATTTATGCCGTAGATAAAAAATTTCAATCTGCACTCGCCATATTTACTAATTTTAAGTAATTATGAAGTATCGAAATAACGAGAGACTATATTAATTATGAATATTAAATCAATTATTGTGATCAGGCGGCACATATAAAAAAGAAAGTCAGAATGTCAAATTTAATTAGAAAGAAAACTGAATAGCATATCCAATGCTTAAAATAAAAATGCCAAGTTTTATACGAAAAATTTATTATTTAAAATTTATTTTCATATTAAGTTGGATGAAAGGAAATGTATATTAGTATGGAATATTCAGAATTTGTTTCGTTATGTATTAAATAAGTTTATAATTGTAAAGTAAGTTATTAAGTCTCAAATATTAGCATATACTTTGTGCGATTAATCGTAAAATCTATTATAATTTTGTATATATGCACATGAATGCGTCATTTTTTAGCAAAGAGAATGATTAATTTGTTATGAATCGTAAAACTAACGTAACAAATATAACATTATATAAAATGATGATGAAAATAAGTTTTTATGGAGATCTTCATTAAATATTTAATTATACATTTTATACAATTAATGAAACTAATATGTATAATATTATCACCTGGCTAGTAAATTTTTTTTATGTTTTAATATAAAACATACATTAACGTAATGTTTTTATTACATTATTACTTTATTTTCATCTAAAACACTATAAAATAAATTATGATAATATCTATCTCTCGTGATTTGCGAAACATTATAAAGCAAAAAAAAAAAAAAAGAAAAAAAAAGAAAAAAAAAGAATTACGTTAAAGCTCGTTCGGTATAAGATTGTGCTTTTATCTTCAGTTTTTAATGACGATAACGACTTGGTTTGAGCGTGGGAGGTGATAGCGCACATACTTCGGGCGAGCCACTTCACAATGCTATAAATATTATTGGCGAAAGTTTCTTCTTATCGACCTATGCCCTATGAATTGACAAACAGACAGAGGCGCGCGCTTACCTACATAGAACATTGACGGATCTCGAACGGACGCTAACTAACAATGTTGGTGGCTGGAGTTGGTTTTACAGTCGACTATATTAACGATTTGATGAGAAAGACTTGCGACGTTAGCGTATCTCTAAGAGATATTTATTATTTCAATCGATCGACTAAATTGTGTATACTTAATTTTCTAGAGGATCTCAATGGCTACACGGACAGCATTGTTATGGTTATGTCGGCTTCCACCTGTCTGACACATTATTTATTTCACGATAAGAAGATAATAATTTAATTAAATCAAGATTGTATGCACGGTCTGTCTGTTCATAAATGAAAATTATAGAGATGATTTAGTGGCGATGTTTAATTTCACTTTCTCATCGGTATAAGAATTCAGTGAATGCCGCCGTATCTTCAAATTTATCCCTATATTATTTCATATTGTAATTAAGCGTTTGGTTTCTTATCCAAGTATATACATTTTAAAATTTTCAAAAGTTTTATAGGTCTTAAGTTTGTGCAATTCACTCGGTCAACCTCCTACGCAACCGTTGATACGTAAGATTTTTATAAAAACTTTTCAAATTTATCTCTTCACTTAAAATTTTCTCTTCAGCTTCAAACATAACCTGGGCCCTGTGAACAGCACTAATTGCTATATTGTTTGTTATTGGAAAGCGCGATATGAAACATTATTCTCTAATAACACATAGAATTTTCAACCGAGCTCTTTTTAACATGCTTACTACGAAATATAAAGCTGCAAGTTTGAAGCTTGGAAGGGGTGTTTGAGCATCGAGAATAATCCTACTTCAACATTGTGAGTCTTCGCGAAAGTTATATTCTTTATCATTGAAAAACTGTGCTTTCTAAAATATATCGCTCTACAAAGAATGGCAAATTATATCTCAATAAAAATGTATTTGCTATTAAAGGCCTAATTAAATCAAGTGGCATTGATCGAGTAAACTTGAATAACGAGCATTATTATTCAATTTTGTTGTTCGCAACTCATTGTCGAGAATTGACTAGAATCAAAGATACGCAGAGCTCGTAAGTTTCGAATGTTTTCCAGGTTAATATAACCAACTGCTTATTTCGAGCTCTTGAGCTATGCAATTGCTCGATTTGGATTAAATGCTAATAAAGGCGTAAAGAAGAAGTCTTCTTTGAAGATTCGAAGGGGGTCTCGGAGGAAAATTTGAGTAAAATCAGTCAGCGACGCATGGAAACGAGGTTTGTTGCACTGGTTGAACAATGACAATGTGAACGAGCCTTGAGACGCAAAGTGCCATTATTAACTATTATAAATGGTACTTAATAAATTCGATTTGCGTGACAAAATGAAGGAAATTCTGGAAAAATAGACGCGACGACGGGTCTCGCGCTTAGAGAGTCGCCATTAGGAATTTTAAATTCCCGTCATGATAATCGTTAATTGGACACCGAATTGTACTCGACAATGGCACGTGGTTAGTGAAACGTAATGCCGATGCATGAAAAGCAATCTTTTGGCCACTCGAATTATGCATGGCTTTTCCATGAGAGCTCCAAGTCACTGGAGTCGTTTTCCTGCTGGGGTGGGAATGGGAATGGGGAATGGGGAATGGGGAATGGGGTGGGGGGGGGGCTCGGGCTATCGCCTCTCCTCTTTCATCAACTTCGCGTTATGGTTACGTAACGCATGGCTTGCTCGGCTAATAAACGAAAGACGAAACAAAGCAGAAAAATAAGAACATTTTACATGATCCGAGAGCTGATAGAGCTTGATAAAAGATGGTGGTGGAGTAGTGGCTATTCAGCGGAACACAATTTGCTTTATAAAGAGAATAAATTACACGCATGATAAGGAGCACGTGAATTTTATGGAGGAGGGAGAAGAAAGGTGAATAATCAACGAGACGATAATCCGTATTATTTATTAATTAAGGAAAATTAATGGAACGTTGGAGCTTATTTTGTATTTATTTGTACATTTAATCTTACGCTAATCTAATGTTAAAAATTAATAACTATGTATAACAAAAAATTCTGCTTATGTCCATAAATAACTACAGCTGCTTCAATATTTCGCTGATCGATCGCAAACAACATTCTTACATTGGATATCTTATTAATTTATTAATACAATATTTAATTT